GGGGCATGAACCCGTGTCCCCTGCATCAGCAGGCAGACTCTCAACCACTATGCCACCAAGGAAGCCCCGATATCTTTTTTTTTAATTAATATTTTGCTAAGAATGATGTTATTTTTGTAACATATAGTATAACCTAGCTGATCTAGTCTTAACGGATATATTAAACAGTTTATATATTTCCATATATAGTATTGTTAACATATTACTTTCACACATACTATTACTTACACATAACATATTACTTACACACCATACTATTCTGAGGCTATGTGTATGTGTGTATATGTAAATCTGTGTTTATATGTCTTCATAATAGAGTTTGTCTATCACTGAATTTTCTAAACTTCTTGTTCACAAGCTAAACAAAATAAGTGTGTCTTACATATTATTGATCAGAATAAAATATGCTACAGTGAAGTCCTGTGTGTATGTGTGTGTATACACACACATATATATATATATATATATATATATATATATATATATATATATATGTGTTTGTATGTGTGTGTGTGGTTTTGTGCACACATATAGATACACACATAGGTGCATCAGGTATATGATTGTGCCAATCAGGATCACACAAGGAAATTTTAATTTACAACACTAAAAAATCAAAATCAAAAATAAACTCTTTAACTTGTCCAATGTCATAACTAAGTCATTCACATTTTCAATACTCAATATATTTTGTCCATTTGATTAGAGGAACTCAAATTTCTATGTTATTTACCCTAATAGCCACAAATTTAAAATATAAACAAAGTCAACTGGTAAAGAAAATTTTCTATGGATGATCCAGCTCTAGAAATATCTTAAAAACTTACACCAAACCTATTTTAGTGTGTGTTTCCCAGATTCTGCTTCATTGCTCATTTGTAAAAACAAACATTTGCCATGAAGACATAACTGCCAATTTAGCCTAAATAAGACAAATGAGATAATAAGACCAGTGGCAGATTCGAGTTGACAAATCCTGCAGAATGCCCAGCTCCAAGTAAAAAGCTTTTCTTTCCTGCCAAAAGGTCTATATGGTAATACTAATTAATTTGCCGACCTTGGCCTTACATTGTTTGACAATATCTGAGCATCCCAATTTGTTACACTTGTGACATTAATTTGGATGTAAAATGTAGCTTGATCTAGTAATCTATGCAACCTCTTAACCCAACAAGCAATCATACAGAGGTATACTTTGCACTGAAGAGGCTTAGAAAGTAGAGATAATTTTTTTTAAGTTCAGGACATATTAATATGGAAAGGATAATATTATGGACATTGTAAATGTGACTTTCACCTGCTCATATCCTGGTTACAGCAGTAGAAGCAAAATTATGTATCTTATTTAATTTAACATTGTAGGATCATTCAGAATATTTGCTCTGACCCAGTTATACAAATATCTGTAACTTAGATATCAGTTCTGATGGATTTTGAAAAGTCAATTAAGAGTATTAAAAATTATGTATCTTTTGAATCTTTCCTGAGAGTTCCAAAAAGTCACAGGTATTGAAGCCTCGTATATATTTCAATCAGGTTTCCTTATTATCTAATAGAAAAATTAAGGTCCTCTTGATACAAGTTAATTTTGTATATTAGAGTAGAAATAAGTTAAAATTTCAGTTTAGAGAAATCTAGTATTTAAAAATAACAAGCTAGGCACTTAGAGTTAATAAATGCTTGCTTCATTCCTTTAAAAAGTACCCTAGGTTAAGCAATACTACAACTGTATAGAGGAAGGGCAGGTATCATAAAAAAAAAATTTATTTTGAACAAGTATGAATTGGTGTGACTCATTCATTTAAGAAGTAGGTTGGACTCTCAGGATTTTAATTCAAACTTTGTAAATGTCAGGAAGACATTTAGTTCCTGAGAGATAGACAAAGGTGAATGTGAAACATTTTGTAATTACAAAATTATATTAATCTTACCATTATGAAATTAAGGAAAAATATTTGCATTGCTTGAGAAAAGCACATTTAAAAAAATAAACCCACCAAACAGATAGATTTGGGAAAATTTTTGACAATTCATGATAATATTAACAATTTATTTAAATAGAAAGTATTTTAAATTTCACTTAAAGTAAATTATAGAAGTTTTAAGAGTTTAAAATACTTTAACATTACAAAAATAGAATTTTGACAAAGTATTTTGAGTTCTTATCTTCAAAATGAATCCTTATCAAAGTATTTTTAATTCTTTTTGTATTAAGCCAAAGAGTAAATAAAATATAAAAACCATTCAATTTTTACAATGTATTCAAAAATGTTTCTACAATCTCTCTAACTCCACTATTGACATACAATTATAGAAATATAGAATTGAAAAGAATTTAGAAGTCATATGAACTCACTTCTAGACAAATGTAAATTCAATGCTCAAATATTTTCTTCACAAGTGTGGTAGGCTGCCTCTAAGACAGCTCCCAGTGATTACTTCTCCTAGTATTTATGTCTTACCTTATACAATTTTCTTTCCTTGATTGTGAGCTTGATCTAATGTCTCACATCTAACAAACAGAATATGGCAAAAGTTATGGGATGTCACATCTAAATTAGATTGCAAATAGACTATGACTTCTGTCTGGCTTGTCCTTCCTCACTTTCTCATTCACTTGGAAGCAAGGAATATATCACACAACCAAATAGAAGCTACATCCAGGGTTTCATAGTAGTCAAGGCTCTCCAGAGTCTCCAATGCATGGGGCATGTTTGAAGGCAAAAGAGGCTGAAGAAGGCACAGATAGAGCCCACTCATGAAAGCAGCCCTTCCCATCTCTCACATAACTTTTATTTTTCCCATGGAGTCCTTCTAGCAGTGTGTGCAAGTTGCATCATTCCCAGGGCAACCACAACTCAACAAAGAGTTTAACAATAAACAATTCTGATAACCAAATATAATATGCTTGATATATCATTGTTCAGATTGTCAACACATTCCAAGGGGCAGGTAAATCCAGGGTCATATTCTCAGTTGTTCCTGGATATGGAGTGTGAATTTAGACCCACTGTTAACCCTTTAACAATAGTCTACCCCTGAACTCTGGATACGGTCATGTCATATAATTTTAACACCTTTTAATAGCTCTTTTGAAAGATATATATATATATATATATATACATTTTTTTTAATTGGGAAATAGTTGATTTACAATGTGTTAGTTTCAGGTGTACAGCAAAGTGAATATGTTATACATATACATATATTTACTCTTTTAAAGACTTTTTTCTATCTAGGCCATTACAGAGTACTGAGTAGAGTTCCCTGTTGTAAGATATATTTTTGACATTGCAAACAGAAAGATTTTTCCTGTCTGTAGCCAAAAGGATAGGCAAAATTTTGTGAATGTTAGTATGATTGACTAGATATGTTAGTCTTGATCACATCTTTTCAGTTTTTGAATATTTTATAATCAATTTGATTTTACTTTTAACTCTTCATTTACTACTATTTGTACTTCTAAAAAAATAAATGTGAGAGATGAATTTAATGTATATCTAATTATTCTGAAAATAAATTTATTTCTTCTTCAGTCCAGTTAGTTTCCATGGAAGCTACATCAGTTAAGACTTGAAAATCAGTTTTTCCAAATAATGTTCCATTCTGTGATTATTTTCATTGGAATATCCTTTTTTACTCAGTTACTTTCAAACAATAAATCTTTTATTATACTGAATACCATTAGATGTGTTATTAAAGTTTTCCACACCAAATATATATTCAAAATATACCAGTGGTATTTCACTTATATTACATATTCCCCATAACACAAGCAGTTATTAAAAGTCACTGTTTATTAAATTTAAGGCCTATCAAAGCTTAGCTCCCAGTCATAACCTAGTTACAAATAATGGACTTTGACAAATACTGTTTTTTAAATATCATTGTGTACTATGATTTGTCTATTTCCCACTAAGATGATATATTGCAGATTGTATTTTTCCCTGTTTCCACCAATTGTGTTATCAGGAAACTTTTCCTACTCAATGCTTCTCTGTGACACTCTTCACAACTTGGGCCATTGAGACTCTTTCCATGAGTGAGCTCCTCTCGCCTGTACTTCCATGATACTCAGTTATACTCTTCACAACCTATTTGATTTTTTGGTCATCAACATATAAAAGAGCTTATCCTATGTAAGGGGTTATACCTTCTCCCAAAGAGCCACTTAGGAAAATTGCCTCATCATTTCATGAATATATGTGCTCTACACACCTGTTCATCATTTTTCTGAGTCTTGCCAAATTTGGCTAGTTTCCTGCCAAAGAAATCCCATTAAAATTTCTATATGGAATACAATGTACATTTTAACACTGTGGCATGCTTCCAAAAGTGCTATTTCTGCTTGGCTCAAAACACTTAGCTACAAATCAATGGTTCCTGAATCTCTTCAAGACCACTAGGAACAGTGTTGACTTTGCTCTACACTTGCCCTTGTTATTGTTGAGCATGATTGTAGTATAGAAAATTCATATTTACACACACATATTGTGGTTATTGAGAACTCATTTTTTGTTCATTTTCTACTTCTAAAATCTATTCATTCTACATGTACCATAAGAACTTCCCAGAGAGGGTTTCTTTGGAGATTTAGAAGACAAAAACAATTAGTGTGGATCCTGCATCATCCCTATATTAACCTTTCTTATTATCATCAACCACTTTTCGATTCCCATTCTTGAGTTAATCACACTTCCAATTAACATATTCAGAACAGCAGAGCAGGCTTTAGCACACCAAGCAAACTATAGAAATACAACATCCCTCATATCCTGGCAACTACTTCAACAGTGCATCAGCCTGGTTCATAATTATCTAATGCACAAGTGATCAACCATTGTACAATCACAGATCTGTGCAATTCAAAGGTAGTATCTCCTTTAGATTATAGCATAAGAGCTTAATTAGTGAACAGAGTTTATAAACCTTTAACTAAAAGAAGTTTCCAAAAGGACCAAGATTTGGTAGAGTCATTAAAGAGTGCTGAATCACAATTTTTTTCCTCTGGATTACACAGAAAACTTTTTTGGCAAAGTTCCTACCTCACCTTCAGTGCAATGGACATTTCTCAGAAGGAAGCAGTGCTGGCGGTCTTCCAGAGGGAACAAAAACTAATGTTGGTCATTCTCTTGCCTTGAGATACTGTTGATGAAAAAAAAAAAACAACATTGTTTTCCTGGTGTTATCACTCACTTCCAAGTTCCTTACTTTACTACCTACCACTTCTCCTGTTTTTAGTTATCCCTAGATTTACCTGGATTCTTCCTACCTGAATTGGGTTGAGGAATTCAGGCACAATCCTCAACCATAACATTGGCAAAGGGTGTAACTGCACCAATGTCTTCCCTTTCATCCATTCATGTCACTGGATTTGAAAGGAATAGAGATATCTCTCACACAAAACACATTCAAAGCTGCAAACATAAGGCCCATCCAACCAGGAATTCTTTTGGAATTAATGCTGCGAGGTTTGAAGTCTTAGCAATAAAGTTATGTGTCAAAATGTCTCTCTCAATTGGAGCCAACAAACAAAATCAAGATCTTAGCATCATGTGATACTACATTACAACAGAAACAATTTGTCAAGTGGAAAAGACAAAGTTGTATTATGGTATCATCTCCTACACATGCATTCTCACTTCTGCACCCCAAATAACCCCATTTTATATCCTCCCTATTAAAATGTTAAATCCAGTCATCTGATCATGCAGACAAGCTCTTTGTTCCTTTATCCACTTTTTATCAAATGTTTTAAGTGCCCCTTTCAATTTCTTATCAAAATTTTACTCTGAAGGTGAGAATGTATGGAATATGTCCAAATAATATGGTGCTTTTAGTTGAACAGTACATCATAGTTATTGTGAAATAGGTCCTTTAAGTTGAGAAAATAGATTTGGATGCTCCAAATTGAAATAATTCACATTGTTTCTATCTTTTTATAACATTTTGGATCATTGCTTCAGTAATGATATTCACAAGAAAACAAAACAAAACAAACAAACAAAAACAGAGAATGTACAAACACTTGGAAATTCTCTGGAAGCTATAAGTGATGGCCTAGTATGATCTAACTGATAATTATCAGCTGGATTTTGTCTCTGTGGAATTCATTCCACAGCAAGTAAAAAAAAAGAAAAAAAGACCTTTTCCTGTCATTCTGAAGAGCCATAGGCAACTATTAGTACTTCAATGGAGAACAAAGAAATTTACCTTCATTCAGTCCAACTGGTAGTACCCATGGAGATTCATCTCTTATACTCAGCCTGCTACTTCAAATATTGTTTTAAACATCCCATTCCAGCCTCTTCAGAACTTTCTGCTAGGTTTTTTAGGGACCATCCAACACATACTACCTTTTCTTCATTCTTTGGGGTTCCTGAAGTCCTTCAAGATTAGGGATTTCCACATGTGTGTATTTTTAATTTTCCAATTGTCTGTGACCCATTAACCAAACACATAGGTAGGTTATCTCCACTGTCCAAGAATTTGTAAAAAATCCACAGATGTCCCTTGAGAATAGGCTTCTAGCATTTGTACAAAAGCTAAATGTACTACTGCAAGTAATTTAGCCTACTGTACGGGTTTTCCTTTTCCTACTCTTACAAGAACTTTTTCTCCATCAGCTGAATAGCTGAAATTTCCATTCTTCTGAGAGTTATCATAGGTACACCATAATACTTGCATTGTTTTATTAATAAGAGGGTCATATGGTCAGGTACTCCATCAACGGGTTCTGGGAGAAAGAAGGTCCTAGGTTTCATCGATTGTCATGCAAATGGTAGCCATATTATGTGACAATCCTCCTGAGGCAACACCTACAGTATTCAGTATTCAGCACACACACAATTTTCACTTGATAAATAAACTCTCTTGGGAAACATCCTCATAATAGTCTCAATTGTCTCAATCATAGGCTCAGAGTTTCCCTATTGTCTTCTGATACACTTTCTTTGGATTATTCTAGTCTTTTTCCCATCCACAACTCCCATGCAGGATAGTTAAGAAAGCAAATCCATTATTGTTTCCATATGTGTTTATTATTGGGTGCTGTCTCTACTAGAGCCTAATTACAAGGGAACAGTTTCTATGGAAAAGAAAAATATATAATAGCAGCATGTGGTAGCTTTTAGGTCTGTGACTCTAGGAGCCTGTAATAAGGGGTTGGAGAAGCATTATCTGACTTCTGTCGCTAAGTCCAATGAGCATGGTGGTGAGTTGGTAAAATCTAATATCATATATTCACTTAGACCTTATGGTCCCAGTGGACTAGACAAGTCCTGTTCTATAACACTTTCTATATCCCACCATATTTAGATGTCCATTTGAATAGTCTTCTTCTAGTCACTTAGTTGTTTCACTTTGCCTCTTTTAAAGAAGTAATTAAATTCACCAAATTAGGAAGGTGCATAATTTGGAATGAGATATATCCACTAAATATGGACTGTCTTTTTAGTAGTTAAATTCTTCAGAAACACTAATTACCTCTATTTTGGGGGAAGCCTCTTGAGGCACCAGGCAACTAATTTCCCAAATTTCATAGTCTTAACCAATTTCTAAATTTTTGAAACTCATCAATCATTCTCTTTAAGATTTATGTGTAACTTTTGTTGTCAAGCTTTTTTTTTTATTTTTTACTTCTTTTTCCAATTCTGTTACTAATATAATGCCAACAGCACAGTGATTCAGCCTGCTCTTCACCAATATCATGACCAAATTTCTCCTCACAAAAAGTATGATAGTACAAGGTAGAATTTTAATACCTTTGACAATATGGTAAAATTGTATTGTTTCCAATCATATAAAGGCAATTGTAAGGTGTATTTTTTTTTTTTTTTTTTTCTGTACGCGGGCATCTCACTATTGTCGCCTCTCCCATTGCGGAGCACAGGCTCCGGACGCGCAGGCTCAGCGGCCATGGCCCACGGGCCCAGCCGCTCCACGGCATGTGGGATCTTCCCGGACCGGGGCACAAACCCGTGTCCCCTGCATCGGCAGGCGGACTCTCAACCACTGCGCCACCAGGGAAGCCCAGTTGTAAGGTTTTTAAAATTTTTCACTCTAAGTATGAAAACAAAGTGTTAACACAATGTCACATAATACCAATCTCTGTTAGTCTGTTGCATATTTTAGATAGTTCCTATCAGATACTGTTATTAACCGTACTATATTATTCATTCCTTGTTAGTATAGCATCAGTCTCCATGACCCTCTTACCTTTCTCATTAACCTAACTCAAATTGTTGTAGCATGCATTGATATTATTACCCCCACTTCTAACATTTTTAAAACAAAGTTGAAAATTTCTACAGCAGGTTCTTATTAGTTATCCATTTTATACATATTAGTATATATGTGTCAATCCCAATCTCCCAATTCATCACTGCTGTATAAAAAAATAAATAAAATAGAATTCAGAAAAAAAAACCTAAAAATAGTGTTACCATATGATCCAGTAATCCCACTCCTCTACATATATCCAGAAAAGACGAAAACTCTAATTCAAAAAGATACATGCACCCCAATGTTCATTGCAGTACTGTTTACAGTAGCCATGACATGGAAGCAACCTAAATGTCCATTGACAGATAAATGGATAAAGAAGATGTGGTACATATATGCAATGGAATATTACTTAACCATAAAAAAGAATGAAATAATGTCATTTGCAGCAACATGGATGGACCTAGAGATTATCATACTAAATGAAGTAAGTCGGACAAAGACAAATATCATATGATATCAATTACATGAGGAATCTAGAAAAATGATACAAATGAACTTATTTAGAAAACATTTCTAAATGTTTTCACAGACATAGAAAAGCAAACTTATGGTTATCAAAAGGGAAATGGGAGAGGGATAAATTGGGAATATGGGATTAACATATACACACTGCTATATATAAAATAGATAAACAAGGACCTACTGTATAGCACAGGGAACTAAATTCAATATCTTATAATAACTTATAAAGGAAAAGAATCTGAAAAAGAATATACATATGTATATACATATATAGGTGTGTGTATATATATATATATACATATATAATATATACACATACGTATGTACATATATAAAACTGATTCACTTTGCTCTACACCTGAAACATTGTAAATCGACTATACCTCAATTAAAAAAATATAATCGCAGAAAAGGTTTATAAAACACCATTGTAATATTTGTTGTGATGTTAGAATTTAGATAAATTCTTTTATTAAAAAAAATTGAAAATTTCTGTTGCCCTTTGTGAATTTTATATTACCTAGTACTCATTACCAAATTTCATGTCCAATTTATTCTGAATGAAATTTGACCTAAAGGACATAACAGCAATGTTTGCCACTTATGTCTCATTCATTGCAATTATGTATTTAGGGGTATTTTGCTTCCAGTACTTTGATCTGCAATTTTTTTTCATTAACGAATAATTTCATTCATTGAATGCCTTACAAGAAAGTATCTCCATAACCACCCAATTCTACTGAAGTCCTTGCAGTGCCTCTTCACTGTCATAGGCAGGAATGCTGTTGTATTTGGGACCTGTATCCAACAAGTCAAAGAAATTTTGCTTCACACACCCTGATATTTAACCTAAACATTTCACACAGCCATAGAGATCATGCTGGGAGATACAGTTTCAAGGTCCTGGACTAAATAGATGAGATGAATTGTTCACCATGTTTCAGCCTTTCTATTAATTATCCTTTCATTTTACCTATTTTAAACTCACCCAGTAGAGGATAGATTGAATGTGACAACATCCTTTAAGAGGTGTTTAAAGGATGTAAAGTAGATGTTTTGTGGGTACTTATTTTTTTTCTATTTTACTTCCCTCTTCTTTTTTTTAAATAAAGAGCAGAACAACTCTGCCTGGCTTAATCTTTTTCTTCTTTTAAACCATTACACTTAGTCTCCTTTCTCTTTCTTTGGCCTTTTTGAATTGCTCTAACCTTTTACATACTCTCAAACTCCATGGAAGATAATTCAGGAAGTTAATCTACTACTATATCTTAATGCCCTTTTGCTCCTTAAACAAGAAGATTGGAGTTTCACTGAATTTTATTGTTCCCAAAATTGTTTGGGGGAGCAGCATGCCATTAGGGGCAACTTTATTTTGATTACCATATAACCAATGAAATGGCATTGCCCCTCTTAGCATTTTCAGTGTTCAATACGTATGTTCCATTTTAACATGGAAGAGGAAATAAGGCAATTCTCAGTTTTTTTGAACACTCACCTGACTCTGGGTTTTACCACCTTGAAGAGGAGAGATCTGTTACTTTTTTGTCACTAATGAATTGAATGCCAAAACCACAACTAATTTTAGGTAGCT